AAAAGGGGGAGGGTCCCTTTTTTTCACTGCGGTTGTGTCAGTCATATGCGAGCTGTCAACACCACCCTTCTAAATCGTATTCCCCAGTTACTATTTACCCTAGTAGGGATAATTTTTTTAAAAATCGAGTATCTCCTTCTTTCGACTTGAAGGTTGTATTCCTCTCAGCCCGGGTTGACCCTGACAGGCAACGTCGGATCCCCACCTCCTAAATTATCTAAATTGTGTCGATGTAGCCGTAAGAACACTAACATTTATTTATTCATATCATATCTGTTTATTGTTTTTAAACACCCTCATTCGTTAATTATTTCCACTCATCTGAGAATGGAAAGTGACGTAAAGAACGTCCTGTTTTCTCAATGTGCTCTTTCGCAGGAGCTTGCTGAGAAGTTGCATTTGGCCAATTCTAAAGAATACAAGGACGACCACCACAAGCCAGAAATGATGGTTGCTTTAACTCCCTTCGCGGGACTCTTTGGCTTCAGGAAGGTGCAAGAGTTGTGTAGTTTTGTCGCTAGTAAGTTGCAGTTGCGAGCGCCGTAAAACCTCTACTAAAACTAAAACTAAAAAGAGTTTTTTTTCTCTTTAAATTCATCAATGGGTCCTCAAAGTTGTGGATGGGTCCCGAACCAGAACACCTGGTCTCCGTGAAGCTGGAGGAAGGGGAGATGACTCTTCAGGACTGGGTGAAAGAGTATCCGGAGCAGCTGGGGTCCACGGTCAATAAGACCTTCGGGGGCAAGCTCCCCTTCTTGTTCAAAGTGCTGTCTATACAGACGGTGCTGCCGCTGCAAGCTCACCCAAACAAGGTAGGGAAAGGAACGGACAGTTGTTGGCTTAAATGTATTGTTCTGAAGACTGTCGAGACCGTTTAATTGCATCGATCTCTTTTTCCTCACCCCTTGGCGCTCATATGACCTTAAGCAGTTGCGAGCGCCGTAAAATCCTCTACTATAAAAAAAAAAAAAAAAATACCCGCACGACACATTGTCTATTTTATCCCCTTTTTATGTGTGTTTAGGCTATCTCTGTGGAATAAGACTGAGACTCATTTACATAAATTCTACTAACTAAATTCATCACACTAAGACAATCCCACACCTGCGGTGTTAGTATGTATGTGTGTGTTTGTGTGTGTTTGTGTCTGTTTGTGTGTGTATCTGTGTTTATGTGTGTGTTTGTTTGTTTGTTTGTTTTTTGTGTATGTGTGTGTTTGTGTGTTTGTGGGTTTGTGTATTTGTGTATGTGTGTGTATGT